TTCTCTTCTCTTCTCTTCTCTTCTCTTCTCTTCTCTTCTCTTCTCTTCTCTTCTCTTCTCTTCTCTTCTCTTCTCTTCTCTTCTCACAAATATAACAACCAGATCTTTTGAGGATATGACTGAGTGAAAGATAATGGCAAAAGCAGGGAAGATTGGCAGGTTACCCCTCCCCCCCACCCCTTCGGCTGCTTTTCATTTTTGAACTTGATTGAACAAATATGAGCTCAGCAGTATACCCTCAAACATTTAATCGTTCATCCTGACTTAGACTGACACATTTCTTTTACATTTTGACTTTGAGTTTTCTAATTTGTTTTTACAGCGAGTACAGAAAATCGAATTTAATACAGTAAAAATGAAAAAAAGCTACACAAAAATATGGGGACTCTTGGAGGTCATTTGGTTTATGTATGGTAAACCTACTGATGGGGATTAACTGATAAAACTCACATTTTTTAGCGGTAGCAGGAAAGTGTCCCTACTCAGGTTTTGCTCCCCAGCCCAGCCCCACCCACACATCTCACCCACTCAAAGTTTTTAGAGGTCAGTTCATTAGAGAAAGTGTAATGATTCTTGTGCTGCCCAAAAAATGGTTAGTGTCTTCATACATTGTTTCCATGAATTAATCTGAAGGAAAGTCTGACGAAATGTTTTGTTTCTAGCGTAACCCAGGTTCTCTGAAAACTGAGTGAGATATATCACTATGGGGGAAGCGCCTTCTGGCATGACCAGTCACGGAAGCGCCGCTACCACCATGTCTGTCTGAGATAAATCATTTCAAGAATACGGAGTCCCCCATCACCACTTTAAAATTGCCCCTTGCGCTATACCAGGCAGGATTTTCTTACATTTGCCCATGCAAGTGCTAGCTGGGTTTATTGCTGGGTTTTGCCTTGGTGTCAAAATAGTGGGGATCAATCTTTGAGATCACCAACACTTGCAAACGCTGCTCAGGGATTCTACCTGTATAGCATTGTTTGCAGAAGTTGGTGTTTGCCAGCAACGCTTGTGCATGTTTGACGCCCATGCATGCGATGCAAAGGGGATGGGGGGTTTTCACCGAGTTCATCAACCCACAAACATTTTGGCAAGTCCAGGTTATGATGTCCCTTACTTTGCTGCCACCAGTGTTCCCTGGACAGATCCAGTGGTTGCCATAACTACTAATGCTCAACTTTGACAGCCAGCAAATGGCTATATAAACACAAGCTCAGTTGACGTGCTAACTTGATAAGGTGCGGGAATGCAACAACACAACAACCTGTTACCAGAAAAATCTTTCCAGTAATCTTTCCTGAACCCACAACAACCCACATTCAGGGACTACCTATCCTGGTTCAGAACCGCTGACGAACTCTAGTGATCGTTACTGGGAAGAAAGTGAGGATGCCTGATGTTGGGTCAAGAGATCCGTGTGGGATAGCAGGGATAGCAAAGGACAAACCTAAGAAAACTTCACCCACTGTATCTGTCCTATTTATAAGTACTGCATGCTTTATGTGCAGGGATTATCACAAACTAACCATTTTAAAGTAATTGCATTTCTTAAACTCTCTATTATAGAAATGAATAGGTTAATACCTTTTTTAAAATCTGCATTAGGATACACATGGTGCTAAATTTTACACAGGCAACCAGTCGTATTAAGAAATCTGTGGTAGATATACAGTCATGTGAAAAAAGTTTTCCTTTGACTCTGTGCAGTCCTGTGAAAAACTAAACGCACCCTTTGGAATCCAGAGGAATTAAGAGGGTAAATGACAACAAGATGCTGCTAATCAAATGCACTTGAATAACTGAGTATTAGCAAGTTTGAGCACCTCTGTAATAGCAATACTTTTGTCATTGCAAATACGTATTAAAACATGTGTAGGAGAAGACAAAAAACAGTCATATAGAAAAACCATTCCTGAGGGCAACAAATCTGATTATGTCATCAGTGTCTGTCTGCGTGCATTTCTGGATATAATTCTAATATATTTATCACCTGAAACACCATAATGTGAAATGCATACACACAAGATCCTCCCCGTGAAATCAGAGTTAAGTGTGTTGCCTGTTTGGCTGTCGCAAATATTGCTCAGCATCTTTAAATACTGTAACAAACTAGTGATCAGTGGAGTGAGCATTGTGAGAGGGAAGCCAGAGAGGATCTGAGAGGGGCTGTATGTTTTGCATCATATGATTCAGCATGTATTTCACATATGTACAGAAGGGGGAGAGAAAATGGAAAGGAATGTTTTATAGTATCCTTGTGTAGCACAATGACCCCCTTTTTCACACGGGGATGGCAGTGACTATAAAAAAGATGCATTTAGCATGTGTAGATGAGTGAACTGGGGAGTGAAAGCAGGCTGCAGGCTTACAGTCAGGCCTTGAGTGGTTGAAGGAGTAGTGGAAAGAAGTATGAGAGGATAAGGAGAAGAGGTTGGAGGCTGAAGGAGGGGAAGCCAATCTGCCTTTCTTGCCAGCTGGGTGCTCAACTCAGCCTTTCATTGGCCTGGCTGCACCAGGCCAATGAAAGGCCTGGCTGCACCCTTTGTTCCCTTGGCGAGATCAGTTTTGGAAG